AATTGTCAGAATCGGTCCACAATTTCATATACCTCCCATACAAAAGTACATATTCCCGGAAAATGGGTTTTTTGTTAATAACTTCCACCACAATGTCGATATCTTCACAAAATCTTATGTCAATAGAATTCTTTCAGAGGAAAAATTTTATGGATCGGTCCATAATTGGACATAGCTCCCATACAAGGTCCCCTCCCGAAAATCACTTAAACGCGCATAACTCATTACTAAATTAAGATATCCATATAAAATTTGGTATAAGTATTGTCAATATGCATAGAAATATTACTGTGAAATTTTTTTCCGATCGGTCCATAATTGGTCATAGCTCCCATACAAGGTCCCCTCCCGAAAATCACTTAAACGCGCATAACTCATTACTAAATGAAGATATCCATATAAAATTTGGTACAAGTATTACTCATATGCACAGAAATATAACTGTGAAATTTTTTCCGATCGATCCATAATTGGTCACAGCTCTCATACAAGGTCCCCTCCCGAAAATCACTTAAACGCGCATAACTCATTACTAAATTAAGATATCCATATAAAATTTGGTATAAGTATTGCCCATTTGTATAGAAATATTACTGAAAATTTCCTTCCGATCGATCCATAAATGGTCATAGCTCCCATACAAGGTCCCCTCCCGAAAATCACTTAAACGCGCATAACTCATTGCTTAATTAAGATACCCATATGGTACAAATATTACTCATATGCACCGAAATATTACAGATAAATTTTTTTCTGATCGGTCCATAACTGGTCATAGCTCCCATACAAGGTTCCCTCCCGAAAATCACTTAAACGCACATAACTCATTACTAAATTAAGATATTCATATAAAACTTGGTACGAGCATTGCCCATATGCATAGAAATATTACTGTAAAAATTGTTTTCGATCGGTCCATAATTGGTCATAGCTCCCATACAAGGTTCCCTCCCGAAAATCACTTAAACGCACATAACTCATTACTAAATTAAGATATCCATATAAAGTTTGGCAGAAATATTGCTCATATACAGAGAAATATTACTGTGAAATTGTTTTCCTATCGATCCATAATTGATCATAGCTCCCATACAAGGTCCCTTTCAGAAAAACACTTAAAGGCACATAACTCGTTACCAAATAATGATATAAATAAATACTATTTTTGTGCATAAATACTATTTTGTAATGCAAAAAGTTAATGTTATTTCAGAAATTTTTCACGATCGGTCTATTTTTGGTCATATCTCTCATACTAGGTCCTGTCCCTAAAAGCGCTTTAACCGTATTTAACTATTTGCATTATCAATTTTTGTAGAACAAAATTATATATATGTATGTATTTTGAAAATCCTTAAATCTTTCACACACATGCATACATGCAAATACTAGATATCGCTAAAGCATATCTTAGGGCGCTATAAAAATTTAAAAGAAAGTGGCGTTTCTAATGTTCAATAAATCTTGGAATTGTAGTAGATTTAAGCTGTTTAAATCTTGGGATTTTTCTATTTATGACATGAGAAAACTTATTTCTACAAATATTTTATTAATTAGAAATGTATTAATACAAAAGTTGCTGGTGGAGGGTATTTTAAATTCGGCTCAGCCGAATATAGCACTCTAACTTGTTTTAATAACAATAACTCAGTTTTGTTAAATCCTTTTAAAAATACAATTTCACCCGTGACAATGTTCTACGAGGAACATTGCCGTGACCAGGATTCGAACCTGGGTTACTACGGCCACAACGTAGGGTCCTAACCACTAGACGATCACGGCTATGTGAAATGCTATAAATAGAATTTGTATATAATTTACTTAAATTTAAACCAAATGTATATTTGTCAATCCCATATTAAAAGACTGTAATTTTCTGTCTAAATGTCTAAACATATGTATTTGTTGAGTCAATTATCACGAATGTAATCTTTGTAATGCAGAGCGAAGGCAGTGTCGTCACTTTACTATCCCCAAATAATCTAGAGAGGGGACACATTTTTTCCAAATAGTCAATTGACTTCCTCCTATGACAAGCCCATATTAAAATAACTAGTTACCTAGATAATTCTGTGGTTTAGAGGTAATCAGAATTGATAGGTTACATTACTAGTTGCGGTCAGGCATTTTGTATTGCAGGGAAGTATCACAATAGGTCACTTCGAAATGCAACATTTAAAGCAAATTTTTATAAAGTCAAAAGTTTGATATCATAAAAATACAATTTCACCCGTGACAATGTTCTACGAGGAACATTGCCGTGACCAGGATTCGAACCTGGGTTACTACGGCCACAACGTAGGGTCCTAACCACTAGACGATCACGGCTATGTGAAATCTTGTTATCCTGATATATAAAAATTTTGCAAAAATCTTAAAAATAAAATCTTTAAATAAATTTTAGTTGAAAAGTATAAAAAATTAAATTCCTTTCTTCTATATTTTCTTTTGAAAAATTAACTTTACGCGGAAAAATATTAAAAAAAAAGCTTAATTATTGATAAGTCTACAGGTATACTCAAAACCTATTTTCGGTAAAGTCATATTTGCAAGTTATTGGCACAACACCTTAAACTTGCACCATAGATAGCAATTAGTTTATTACTAATTTTAAATTGTCTCTTAATAAAAAACAACAATTTCACCCGTGACAATGATTCCCTTAGGAACATTGCCGTGACCAGGATTCGAACCTGGGTTACTACGGCCACAACGTAGGGTCCTAACCACTAGACGATCACGGCTATGTGAAATCTTATTTGCACAACAAATAAATAATAGATTTAAATTTTGCCAAATTATTAAAAACAATGTATTGCATTTAAAAAAATATTCGATTTTTTTAAGTTTCACCACAAAAAAGTGAAAGGTTTAAAAAGTTAATTAACCGCATTAAATTTTAATTGTAGCAAATTATAAAGAAAATACATATGGGAATTAATAAATTTCGTAAAATAACGCTATTTTAAGATTTCACATAGCCGTGATCGTCTAGTGGTTAGGACCCTACGTTGTGGCCGTAGTAACCCAGGTTCGAATCCTGGTCACGGCAATGTTCAAACCGAACATTGTCACGGGTGAAATTGTATTTTAAATACGGATAAACATGTAATTGCATATATAGAAAATTATTTAGTAATTGCAAGTTTCAAGTTGTATAAAGATTTGAAAGTTGCAACATAAAGCTGTAAGTAAATTAAGATTAGATTTAATACATTCACTTTCTATATATGTATAGTATACTAAAGGTTAATAGACTATAATGTAGATGTAGATCTATTGTATATTAAATACCAAAAATGTAATTAACTTTTTCAAAGACAAAGTTTGTGGTATCAAATTTATGGTTAAAAGTCCCTGCTTTAATAAGCCGATTGTCAATTTATCATTTCTAAAAATGGTGATAATTTTCTTAAAAAAAATGAATTGAATTTATTTACAAGTATACAAGATTTCGCATAGCCGTGATCGTCTAGTGGTTAGGACCCTACGTTGTGGCCGTAGTAACCCAGGTTCGAATCCTGGTCACGGCAATGTTCCTCGTAGAACATTGTCACGGGTGAAATACTTGTTTTTTTATATGAACCTTAAATATCGTATCTCGATATTGGTCAAAATCTCACTATTGCTTAAAGAAGCTCATTCTTAAAGTATCATGGTTACTCTATCTGTCTCGTCTATAGTCTAGTCTATAGTCTAGTCTACAGTCTAGTCTATAGTCTAGTCTATAGTCTAGTCTATAGTCTAGTCTATAGTCTAGTCTATAGTCTAGTCTATAGTCTAGTCTATAGTCTAGTCTATAGTCTAGTCTATAGTCTAGTCTATAGTCTAGTCTATATTCTAGTCTATAGTCTAGCCTATATTCTAGTCTATAGTCTAGTCTATATTCTAGTCTATAGTCTAGTCTATAGTCTAGTCTATAGTCTAGTCTATCTATAGTCTAGTCTATAGTCTAGTCTATAGTCTAGTCTATAGTCTAGTCTATAGTCTAGTCTATAGTCTATAGTCTAGTCTATAGTCTAGTCTATAGTCTAGTCTATAGTCTAGTCTATAGTCTAGTCTATAGTCTAGTCTATAGTCTAGTCTATAGTCTAGTCTATAGTCTAGTCTATAGTCTAGTCTATAGTCTAGTCTATAGTCTAGTCTATAGTCTAGTCTATAGTCTAGTCTATAGTCTAGTCTATAGTCTAGTCTATAGTCTAGTCTATAGTCTAGTCTATAGTCTAGTCTATAGTCTAGTCTATAGTCTAGTCTATAGTCTAGTCTATAGTCTAGTCTATAGTCTAGTCTATAGTCTAGTCTATAGTCTAGTCTATAGTCTAGTCTATAGTCTAGTCTATAGTCTAGTCTATAGTCTAGTCTATAGTCTAGTCTACAGTCTAGTCTATAGTCTAGTCTATAGTCTAGTCTATAGTCTAGTTGGAAGGTTGGAAATTATACTAAATATATTGAAATTAATCAAAGATAATCAAAATTAATTCTTGAAAATAATCAAATTAATTATATATTTGATTAATTTTGATTATTTTCATTATTTTAAATTAATCCTGATTATTTTTAGATTAATTTTAATCGTAATCAATTTATAATCTGACATTTTATACCAGAGAATTAAATAATTATTACGATTATTTTTGAAAAATAATTTAATTGATTATTAATCGTAATCGAAATTTAACAGCTATGCTACATATGTACATACTAACAAAAACAATAAAATTGGGAATAGAATACTATATTCTTAAAATTTCCCTATATTTTTATATAATTACCTAAAAAAGAAAACCTACGCATTATTCTTCCCAGGTTGTGACTTAAGATTTTAAAAACTGCGCGAATAAAAATTCCTTTAAACAAGTTGAAATTTAACAAATTCACCAAAAGGAGCACCATTAAACATATTAAAACTTAACAAACTCACCAAAAGAACCATAATAAACCCACCACAAATAAATATTTACAGTTTTTTTAAAGCCCAAAAAATCCTTTTATTTTAACATTGTTGTGTACTATAAACATGAAAACATTTTTGCTTAAATATTCCTTAATAATTTCCCACTATTAAGGCAGCTCCCGACAATAACACTGTATCAGCCGTCTCCGCAGTAGCCACCTCTAGTTCACACAATAACTTTTCACGTTTTGCATTTGTATAAACGGGTAAATAAGTGGATGATATCGCAGCCGAACTGCCGCGAGAAATGGTTTTTAAATCATTCAAACGATTATCTTTTTCTTTAAAAGTAATAATAAACTCAGGAGATTTGTCTTCTGCCATAAGGACATCATTAGAGGTGATTATTAATTTACCATAGCTAAAAACAGCGCCATTTACCTGTGGTGAAATGGAAAAAAATAAACAAAAGATTAGACACAAACCATTATATGTGATAATTGTAATAGATTAACTAAGTAATAGAAACTCGTTTCCATAGAATAAATTATACACTGAACAAAACTGATATTTCAACAGTTTACTATTCTAAATGGCTCCAATTTTTTTTTCATGAATAGTACTTTTTAACACAGAATCTAAAATAATTTCGTTTACTTTCTTATAGTTAAAAATATATATAGGTCGTGTTAAGACTTCTTAAATGATTTATTGTATTATATGACTTATTAACCCATTGAGTGCTATAAGCTAAGAAATGTTTTTTAGAAATATGGCTATTTTTTACAAAAATTTCCATAATTCGAAATGTGACTCATAAAAGTACATTTACTCTTTCTAAGTATTATATAATTCATATTGTAACTATGTATATATAACGTTAATCCTTTAGATGTCGAATATATAAAAATAAATTATTAATTATTAGTATTTACTAAATGATAACAACCAAGGAAACCAAAATATGCAAATGCGTGTTTTTTTGTGGTACATCGAATGGACTCATGAATAAGATATTTAAACGTTTTAGAATTCGTTTCAAAACGTTCTGGCATCAATTTGTTAGCCACAAAAGTATAATTTTGCATGATTTGACATTTGTAGCATATTTAAGCATATTTTCCAGTTTTTAGAGTAAATTTTGCTTTTATAGTGCATATTTAGATTATTTTCATAATAATATAATTTCGGATATTCGAACATAATATTGTGTTGTCATTAGCTGTACTCACAACCGCCAAATTTCAGCAAATTCGGGCTACCGGAATTGGTTTTAAAACAATTTTCCCCAATTAATTCGTCGTTCGTCTGCGTAAGAAATAGAAATAAATCTATCGCATAATTCGTTACGTACGACGAATTTCGTCATACGCAATAATTGTGTACATTTTCATATACCCAAGTGTGTTCTACTTCTGACGACGAATATACGTTCCGAAAAATTCGTCGTTCGTCCCAATTGTGCCTATACTATAACATTTTTTAAATTTAAATTTTTATAATTATTTTATTTTTTTAAATTTTATTTTTTTTTAATTTTCATGACTGTTATACAATTTTAAACAAATCGTATGTATTGTTTGTAATTGTAAAAAAATTCATTAACCCCCTCATTTTATAAAACGAAACTTTCGTTAACGTAAAAAATTTGTATGAAGAATACTGGGACATTTTTGAAAATTACCCCCTAATTTTATAAAACGAAACGACAAACGTTCAAAAAAAAATTGTATGGAAAAAATTAAAATTTTCAAAAATTTCCCAGTATTCTTCATACAAATTTTTTACGTTAACGAGAGTTTCGTTTTATAAAATGAGGGGGTTAGATTTTTTTCAAAGTCAAAGTTGATCTAAGAGTAGTTATCGGATAATAGGACCCAAATTCTTTGATTGCTCATCAACATCTCCTGACTCAAATCCCTTAGAGATGCTGTTCGGCGTTCTGGAGCGCTGGGTCAGAACTCGCAGTTTTAGAAAACATTGCAGCTGGCGAATGGCTTAAAATCCTTTTGGGATTCATTACGAACTACACTTGTAACTAATCTATTCCATAAAGGTGTTTGGAACTCATAAGGACCAAAGATTTTCATAAGAAGATCAAAAAGTTGCTTACGTTTCGAACATCTATTTATGGATATAAAAGCATAATTTTGCATAATTTCACATTAGTAGCATATTTAAGGCAAATTTTCGAGTTTTTGGAGTAAATTTTGCTCTTTTAGTGCATATTTTGATGTTTTGTGCCAAAGAATAATAAGAAGTTGGACTATGACATTGTTTTACAACAATAACATTTCCTTCTCTTCACAGACGAGTTCTGTGTAAATTCAACACACTTGTGAGAACTCAATTCTCTCACAATACTTCAAAACTTTTTCGCGAAAATACCGGGATAATAGGACTTGAACGACGTTTTTTCACAAACACATAACTATTTTTTAATTTTTTACACAATTTGATCGCATTTAACAATCCGAAATATTTTTATTTTTCACAAACTAAAAAAATATTTTTTTAATTTTTTTGACAATTAATTTTTGTGTGTTGAAATTAAAATTGAAAAAACAAAGTTGTATATTTTGGTATTGAAAATGAAAAAATTATTTAAAATAAACTTATTTTTTTGCAAAAAAAGAGATTTTAAGTCCGAAAAATATATTTATTAAATTTTTACTGATTAGATGTGGGCAAAATACATTAAAAAATCTGCGAATGTAGAAATTTAAATGTTATTTATTTTTCCTAAAATTTTTATGTACGATTTTATGCAAGTATGTATGTTTGGAAAGTGTGGTGAAAGTGGTTGGAGCTCCAATACTAATACAAAAATTCTACCAATACATACTTAGAGTTAGGTACCGTATGACAACTCCTTTACGTACCAACTGACAAGCCCCAATTTCTTTATATTCTTTGTTTTGTGCTTTATTTTTTCACTTTTGTATGTTTAAAATTTTTTAATTTATTTCATTTTTAAAAATTTTATTTTTGATTTTTTTTTTAATTTTCATGATTGTTATACAATTTTGAAACAAATCGTATGTATTGCTTGTAATCGGCAAATTTCATTCATCATGTATGAAATTTCGTTTTCGGTGCCAACAACAACAATACCTATTAAATATATAATTATATTTAAATTATAGAGAAAATCTTAAATTTGTAAAAAAACTCCAACTATTAATTACATTTGTTGTAGTCGGCTCTTAATGGGTTAATATTATCATTTCAAAGCTTTTCGAAACCCGTTTCGAATGATATGTATGTATTACGGAAATCGCAATCGTTTACTGTCGGAAAGCTATGCTAAACATTAATTTAAGATCACTTAACTTTTACGTAGACGTTTAAATTTTCAATAAAAAACTATTTTTATATGAAAACTACAAAACTGGATGTAATATAAACGATTATTTTCATCAATAACACATTTCTTTCAATAGCCCATTCAGACCAAACGAAATTAAGTAATTTCGAGATTTCGCACGAATTCAACTCAAAATTAAGTAATTTCCCATACATTTTGTTAATTTCACATTAAGTCTTACTTAACTTCATTGAAATTAACTTGAAATCACAATGAACAGGGAAAAAATACCTATTTTTACAACCATGAACGAAACAAAAAAATAAAACAAATTTCAAAACAATAAAAACAATCTAATTTAGTTTATATCGTGTAAAAACATAATAAAGTTTATAATAATTAGAACAAAATATAATCAATAGAATTACTACAAATTTACACTTGTTTCACTTTTATACATTTTTTTTGGCAATTTTTCTTCTTAAAATTGTAACACTATGTTATTTATATAACTGAAAATTTAGTTAAAAAATGCATTTCTTTGCATATAAATTTCCATTTCATAAATATCTTTTTTCTCTGCTCACTTGAGAGTTAATATAAAATGCAACTCTGCCAAACAAACCCACCTTCAGCTAATCTATTACAACTCTGAAAGCAGACATAATCTATTACATTAAATGTCAAATGTGGTACCGTGATGTCAATCAAAAACAAAAATTTTTATACAAAAGCAGACAAAATAAGAAATTTTCATAGAAAACAGCAATAAAACAATAATATTTATAAGAAATTGTTAAATAAAAACAATATACAGAAGGTGGTCAAACAGTTTATGGCTAAAATGGGAAAGGTATGTGCAAAGAAAGTGTAAAAAACACTAAGTGAAAAAATGCAAATCAACGACAAACATTGGTAGTAATAAGAAAAAATGCTAAAAGCCGAGAATTTATATTAAAACAATTATTTCATAAATAAAAGTCGGATTAAATCAGCTTCGAATTATTATCCTAAACACTTACCTGCAAAGGTTTCAATCTAAGCTGCACTTGTTGGGGATTGGTAGTTTGGTTTGATTTTTCGGAGGTTAGACTGTGAGACTCCAGTGTTAGATTTTTACAGGAAATCTGTTGTTTATGTGAATTGACGAGTTTCAAAGCCGATATAAGAGTCTGACAATTGTAGACTGTGGTTAAGTCAACTTCCTCAATAAAGTCCAAGTGTTGCATGGTACGGTATCGAGTTTCGGTGTTTGAGGCTCTATGCATAAAAGCTTTTATATAGTCCAGGGCGTTTGTAGGTCCACACCAGAGACGTTGCCATTTTAGAGGGACCTATGGTAATATTTATACTATTGTGTTATTTAAATTTATTAAATTCAATTCTAGTCTAGATTGGTCCAAGTTCAATTCTACCTCAGTTCTAGTTCAGTTTTAGTTCAGTTTTAGTTCAGTTCTAGTTCAGTTCTAGTTCAGTTCTAGTTCAGTTCTAGTTCGGTTCTAGTTTAGTTCTAGTTCAGTTCTAGTTCAGTTCTAGTTCAGTTCTAGTTCAGTTCTAGTTCAGTTCTAGTTCAGTTCTAGTTCAGTTCTAGTTCAGTTCTAGTTCAGTTCTAGTTCAGTTCTAGTTCAGATCTAGTTCAGTTCTAGTTCAATTCTAGTTCAGTTCTAGTTCAGTTCCAGTTCAGTTCTAGTTCAGTTCTAGTTTAGTTATAGTTCAGTTCTAGTTCAGTTCTAGTTCAGTTCTAGTTCAGTTCTAGTTCAGTTCTAGTTCAGTTCTAGTTCAGTTCTAGTTCAGTTCAAGTTCAGTTCTAGTTCAGTTCTAGTTCAGTTCTAGTTCAGTTCTAGCTTAGTTCTAGTTCAGTTCTAGTTCAGTTCTAGTTCAGTTCTAGTTCAGTTCTAGTTCAGTTCTAGCTTAGTTCTAGTTCAGTTCTAGTTCAGTTCTAGTTCAGTTCTAGCTTAGTTCTAGTTCAGTTCTAGTTCAGTTCTAGTTCAGTTCTAGTTCAGTTCTAGTTCACTTCTAGTTCAGTTCTAGTTCAGTTCTAGTTCAGTTCTAGTTCAGTTCTAGTTCAGTTCTAGTTCAGTTCTAGTTCAGTTCTAGTTCAGTTCTAGTTCAGGTCTAGTTCAGTTCTAGTTCAGTTCTAGTTCAGTTCTAGTTCAGTTCTAGTTCAGTTCTAGTTCAGTTCTAGTTCAGTTCTAGTTCAGTTCTAGTTCAGTTCTAGTTCAGTTCAAGTTCAGTTCTAGTTCAGTTCTGGTTCAGTTCTAGTTCAGTTCTAGTTCAGTTCTAGTTCAGTTCTAGTTCAGTTCTAGTTCAGTTCTAGTTCAGTTCTAGTTCAGTTCTAGTTCAGTTCTAGTTCAGTTCTAGTTCAGTTCTAGTTCAGTTCTAGTTCAGTTCTAGTTCAGTTCTAGTTCAGTTCTAGTTCAGTTCTAGTTCAGTTCTAGTTCAGTTCTAGTTCAGTTCTAGTTCAGTTCTAGTTCAGTTCTAGTTCAGTTCTAGTTCAGTTCTAGTTCAGTTCTAGTTCAGTTCTAGTTCAGTTCTAGTTCAGTTCTAGTTCAGTTCTAGTTCAGTTCTAGTTCAGTTCTAGTTCAGTTCTAGTTCAGTTCTAGTTCAGTTCTAGTTCAGTTCTAGTTCAGTTCTAGTTCAGTTCTAGTTCAGTTCTAGTTCAGTTCTAGTTCAGTTCTAGTTCAGTTCTAGTTCAGTTCTAGTTCAGTTCTAGTTCAGTTCTAGTTCAGTTCTAGTTCATTCTAGTTGTCAGTTCTAGTTCAGTTCTAGTTCAGTTCTAGTTTCAGTTCTAGTCTTCTATTCATTCCTAGTTCAGTTCTAGTTCCAGTTCTAGTCATTTCATTCCGTTCTAGTTCAGTTTTCTAGTTCATTCTGTTCAGTTCTAGTTCTAGTTTCAGTTTCTAGTTCTAGTTCTTCTAGTCAAGTCTAGTTCAGTTCTAGTTCAGTTCTAGTTCTAGTTCAGTTCTAGTTCAGTTCTAGTTCAGTTTCTAGTTCAGTTCTATGTTCGTTCTATTTCAGTTTCTAGTTCAGTTCTAGTTCATCTAGTTCAGTTCTCTTTTTCAGTTCTAGTTAGTTCCTAGTTTCGTCTTAGTTCAGTTCTAGTTCAGTTCTGTTCAGTTCAGTCGTTCTAGTTCAGTTCTATTCAGTTCTAGTTCAGTTCTAGTTCAGTTTCTAGTTAAATTAAATACCAAGTATATAACTAGAGAACAAGTTAAATAATTAATTATAAAATATTTAATTGAAAATCTAAATCTTTCACTAAAAAATTTTTAAATTTTCACTCCTATTATTTTGAACGCAACTGTATATACAAATAGAACAAACTGAACTGTTCTAGTTCAGTTCTAGTTCAAGTTCTAGTTCTAGTTCAGTTCTAGTTCAGTTCTAGTTCAGTTCTAGTTCAGTTCTAGTTCACTTCTAGTTCAGTTCTAGTTAAATTAAAATAACAATTATAATAACTAGAGAACAAGTTAAATAAATTAATTATAAAAATATTTAATTGAAAATCTAAATATTTCACTAAAAAATTTTTAAATTTTCACTCCTATTATTTTGAACGCAACTGTATATACAAATATCATTGAAAACAATTTCATTCGATCGTTTCATATTTGAACTTATTCCCTTATAATACTTTATTACTTGTTCTTTTCTTTTAAAGAGAATTTCTTCCTAAGACTTACTTGATTTGAAGCCAATGTATTGATCATTTGCATATTTGCTGGATTCTGTGAGTTGGTTTGTTGCTCTTTAAGGCTACTATATACTTGACTTAAGGTATTGTGTATCATTTGATAACCCTCACCGGCCAATTTCAATTCAGTATGTATGAAAACCAACCAGGGATTGGATGATTTTTGTTCTTCGCTTAATTCTTGAGCAGTAATGTTTATGGAACAGTTCTGTAATTAAGAAATCAAAATATGTTATTAGTAGTAGATTTGTATGAACATTAAAAAGGTTTCCTGAAACAGTATTGAAGACAATAAGAGTATACATATATACCTGTGCCAATTTCCTCCATAAAGCCAAAACAGGCTTAATTTGTTTTTCCAAATTCTGCTGGTTCATTTCATTATCTCCACTTAAGCCCAAATACGACAACCTCAGTTCCCTTAAAATATCTAAGCCATAATCAATTTCTCTGCTTACATTTGATTTCTTGGAAAGTTTAAATAACTCCGGTTCATCTTGAGATGGTAACTTTGATAAGGCATTTAAATAATCTGACCATTGTGTACTAGTGGGTATAGTAACTCTACCCTCAAAGGGGGTCCATCTAGAACTCAAAGATTCATTGTTGAAAAATTCTTGCAAATATTTCTGTAAAACCAGCAGATCTCTTAAATTATTAATGCGACCACCAAAAGCCACATTTTCATTTAATTTTTGCATTATTTGCCAATCAATGCGTCCACCTAACATAAGACCATCCAACCACTTAATTAATTGTAAAGCAGCCTTGAGATCTGCCTCACCAAACTCATATTTTTGTGACCAACCTTGCGGTATAAAACGTCTACGTTCTTGTAAAACAGATAAGACTATAAATAGCACTACTCTTATCTTCATTAGTTTAGCTTCTTTGAGTATAGTTCTATCTTGTTCCATTACCGCATAATTTTGTAACATTCTTTTGGCCTTCTGTTTAATACCAGCCGGGTATTCATATAGAACTTTAACAAACTTATATATTACTGCCTCACTAAAACCTTGAGTGGATTCACAAATCAGCCATAAACGAAATTCAGCATGCTTCTTCATTTCACCAAACTCCCTTTCCAGTAATAGCAACCAGGTCGGTACTAGGTGGACATTTTTAACACATATCCATTTACCCAATTCAGCTGAGAGTTTAATAACATCCATAGCTTTTTTCTCTAGACCTTTGCCTATAGAAATTTCCTGGTATTTATCTTTGCCTTTAGTGCGCACTGCCACACTTAATATTTCCGTTGCTGGATCATTTTCGGTTTGTGTAATCATTAGTATGGGTTTTTCGGCAGAACTTTCTTCCACCAATTGTTCAATGCTTGGTTGTTGTATGGATTCAATGGATATGCCTAGCATTTCTTCTGCTGTTAGTTTCATATAATAGGTTACCAGTTCTGGTCTTATGATTAGGGTTATTAAAAGTTTTTCAAAGCTATTAATGGTTGTTACTGGAAATAAATTATAAGAATTATTTTTCAATGAAAGCTTTTTTATAAAAGAAGACTTCTTTTAAAAGCTTTTAAATTAGGAATATTTATTTTTTTTTTAATTATTTTTAGAAAATTAAAATTTTTTTAATAAAAGTTATTTTTTGATGAGAATTTTGATAAAAAAGAAAAGCATTTTGAAGAAAATAGTATTTAAAACTTTTTATAAAAATAACTATTTTTATTGAAAGCTTTTTTACTTAGTGGTAAAAATAAAAAGACTTCTTTAAAAAGCTTTTGAAGAGAATAGTATTTAATATTTAAACTTTTTACAAAAAAAAAACTTTTTTATGGAAAGCTTGTTTACTTAAAAGCTTTTTAATAAAAAGCATCTTTAAGTGAAAGCTTTTTGATAAAAATATTTTTTGTTAAAAATTAATTTTTGATCGAACTTGTTGATCAAACGTTTTTTCAAGAAAAGCTTTTTTAATCAAAATCATTTTGAAGAAAATTTTATTTGTTTAATAAAAACTTTAGAAAAACCTTTCTTTATATTTCAACTTTTGAACAAGAGTTTTTTACGAAAAGTCTTTTTATGAAAAGCTTTTGAATTTGTTTATGAAAGCTTTTTACAAAATAACTTATTAAAAATGTTTTAATGAACAACTTTTTTACCCAGAAGCCTTTTGATGAAAAACTGTTTTAACCAAGAACTACTTTATAAAACTTTTTTTTAAACAAAAGCCTTATGAGCAAAAAATTTAAGTAAAAAAGCTTTTTAATACTTTCGATCTATATAACCTCTATTTCCCTCTCTCTTACCTGGTATTTCTGCAGACTTTCCTTCTTTAAAACCACTCCATAGTGAAAAATTATGCAGTTGTAATTTTTCCTCCATTTCTGGTTTTTGATTAATTAAAATTTGCAATTTTAAAGCCGCCTCCTTGCCAAAACTCTCCACATATTGAGATCGCCCATAACCAGCACTACTACTTAAAGAACTGCCCTCTGCTCCCGATATAAAATTCGTAACAAACAATTCCCATTCAACATCTTTTATGCGTTCCTTATATGCCGTACGACACACATATAAAGCCAGTGATAAATGTCTATCCTTGGGTATAGATCTAGCCAAATACTGAAATGTCTCTCTAACTAATTGGCCATAAAATTTCAATTCTATTTGTACCGACGAGTTGGCACCACCAATGTCATGTAATTCCAACGCATTTAGAAATAGTTTTATAAATACCATAGAAGATAATTCGTAACAGCAGGTTAGATTTATATAAAACCCTGAAGCTTTGGAGCACAATTCTCTTAACGCAGTAAAATCTGCTAATAAAGTGTCTTTGATTTCAGAACTTTCCTTTAAGGATTTGTCTATAAAACTGCTGCTTTCCTTGACTTCATTTAAAGTTTTCAAGAGCTTTTCATTTTTCAAAATGTCACCTTGAGCTAATGATAGCTCCTCCAATAGTTTATCTTCTAATTCCAGGCGTTGTTTTAGTAATACCCCTTCATTTTTCAATAAATTTACACGTTTTTGTTCCAAAACAGGATTTTTCATTATAATAGCTTTAGACATTAGTTGATCACTTAAGCCAACTGCGGTTACGGTGAAAGGTATACAGCTGATAAAAGCAAATGTTTCTGATGCTATGCTTAATTTGGGTGTCTTTGTGACCAAAACCAGCTGGAAATTGTCATGTAAATCGACCATTTTCGATCCTACATCTATTTGTTTTTTATTGAATTTCATATAGACTTTATTTGTAATCAATTGCATTAGCGGTGGTCTCAATTCCTGACAGTCTTCTACTATAAATGTTTTACCAAATCTTACCGCCAGTTCCAGGGAGTATGTTAATTTTTGATTGTTTTGTGATAAAACTTCAAAAGGTCTCTCCTTTGAGTGTAAGTATTCCTTAAGCCAATTAATGGCAGTCTCTGTGGGATCCAGTAGTAGAGGTATAGGATAAGAGCCAAATGGCAAATTTAACATTTGTCTTAAAACAGCAGCATTCTCTATAATTTGAGCATCTCTTGCCAAACCCATGCTTTCCCAAATAATTTGTTCTTGTTCGGTAAGTAAATTTTTGTGTAAATCAAATGATTCTTTTAGTTGCAATTCGGTAGTAAGTTTATTGAGGGAAGAGCTGTAATATAAAAAAATGGCGATTAAAATATAAAGAAGAAGTTAGTTGGACCAGCTACTATACCTTCTTTCCTTCAGTGACATATGCGAGTAGTAATTTAAGGCCAATGCTATCAACAAGGACTTGGTATCTAAGGTTTTAAAAGTTACTTTATATTCCTCTAGTTGCATGCTCCATGTTTGATACTCCGAACTTAATTGCTCTACCAAAACTTCCGCAGCTGTTAAGGTATTACGAGCTTCTTCTAATTTTAATTCTAATACTGCTGCTTCCTGGGTATATGCATTTAATTTAGCCGACAATTGCTTTACTCGGTTGTCTACATCATCTAGACCCGTCATCAAAGATTGCATTTCATCTTCGGCCACATCCAAATTCTTTTGCAACTCCTTTTGTTCTCTCTCCAAAGGCTTAATACTTTGTATAACTTTTGAATATCTAACACTAGCCTTTACCCAAGCTGCTAACGGTGCCGCTGCTACCGAAGCTCTTTTGGCATTTTTCATTTCAAAAGAATCGGCTTTATTAGCCAATAGTTTAACAACGGCCTCACAATTTTCGGGACTTATGCGCGCTGGGTCCAGAGATCTAATGTCTTCTTTAACACCTCTTTTAGCCAAAAATGTTTTCATACTGTTCCATGAAGTATCCCGTATGCCCATTAAACGCAAGACACCCTCAAGTATGTCTCTTATAGTCTCGGGTGGCGCTCTTAGAGACCTTATTTCAGACAATGCCTCTGATTTTATTTGACCGACAGCGGCTGATGCTTCCGCCAATATCGGTTCTACTTCGGCTAATTCTTCTTGGATTTCTTGTTGTCTCTCTTTAAGTTTTTCACTGCTTTCTTGTGTTTTCTTTTTTAACTCCAACATGCTAGATTTTTGTTCATTGGCATTTCTCATAGTTGAAGAAATCATTTCTAAAGCTTCATTAGCCAATTTACGCTTTTCGGCTAAAGCCACTTCCTGTTTGGAGGCATTTGATTTCAGAGTATCAACCACTGCATGAGCAGAAGCAAGTTTGTCGACACCGTGCTGTGTAAAAAGATAAAATTTTAATAATCTTGTTTAGTTTTAGTTCAGTTCCAGTACACTTGTAATTCAGTTCTAGTTCTAGTTCAGTTCTCGTTCAGTTCTATTTCAGTTATAGTTCAGTCCTAGTTCAATTCTAGCTCTGATCTAGTTCTGATGTAGTTCAGTTCTAGTTCAGTTCTAGTTCAGTTCTAGTTCAGTTCTAGTTCAGTTCTAGTTCAGTTCTAGTTCAGTTCTAGTTCAGTTCTAGTTCAGTTCTAGTTCAGTTCTAGTTCAGTTCTAGTTCAGTTCTAGTTCAGTTCTAGTTCAGTTCTAGTTCAGTTCTAGTTCAGTACTAGTTCAGTTCTAGTTCAGTTCTAGTTCAGTTCTAGTTCAGTTCTAGTTCAGTTCTAGTTCAGTTCTAGTTCAGTTCTAGTTCAGTTCTAGTTCAGTTCTAGTTCAGTTCTAGTTCAGTTCTAGTTCAGTTCTAGTTCAGTTCTAGTTCAGTTCTAGTTCAGTTCTAGTTCAGTTCTAGTTCAGTTCTAGTTCAGTTCTAGTTCAGTTCTAGTTCAGTTCTAGTTCAGTTCTAGTTCAGTTCTAGTTCAGTTCTAGTTCAGTTCTAGTTCAGTTCTAGTTCAGTTCTAGTTCAGTTCTAGTTCAGTTCTAGTTCAGTTCTAGTTCAGTTCTAGTTCAGTTCTAGTTCAGTTCTAGTTCAGTTCTAGTTCAGTTCTAGTTCAGTTCTAGTTCAGTTCTAGTTCAGTTCTAGTTCAGTTCTAGTTCAGTTCTAGTTCAGTTCTAGTTCAGTTCTAGTTCAGTTCTAGTTCAGTTCTAGTTCAGTTCTAGTTCAGTTCTAGTTCAGTTCTAGTTCAGTTCTAGTTCAGTTCTAGTTCAGTTCTAGTTCAGTTCTAGTTCAGTTCTAGTTCAGTTCTAGTTCAGTTCTAGTTCAGTTCTAGTTCAGTTCTAGTTCAGTTCTAGTTCAGTTCTAGTTCAGTTCTAGTTCAGTTCTAGTTCAGTTCTAGTTCAGTTCTAGTTCAGTTCTAGTTCAGTTCTAGTTCAGTTCTAGTTCAGTTCTAGTTCAGTTCTAGTTCAGTTCTAGTTCAGTTTCTAGTTCAGTTCTAGTTCAGTTCTAGTTCAGTTCTAGTTCAGTTCAGTTCGTTCTGTTCAGTTAGGTTTAGTTCAAGTTCAGTTGTAAAACTGAATTCTAGTTTATCTAGTTCAGTTCTAGTGAAGTATTTATAACTATGAAAGTCAGAAGGTGGTAAAAGCTTTTTAAAAATTTACCTGTAACTTTTCCAAATCTTTTATTAATATCCTTCGATAAATTACAATAGATGTAATAATACGATTTTATCAGTTGATAAAACCTTAAAGACACCTGCGTTGTAGTAAATTATCTAATATCTCCGAAAAATAACTAGAAACAGGAACTTTTCTTTCGATGCTGATTGACCAGGAAATTCACTTTAAAACTTCCCCAAATTTCTTAGGCAACATGTTTAAAGTCTCTATTGAAGTGCCTCTTAGATATAATATATCCATGTTTCTATATAAGGCAGGATATTTAGTGAAATATTGCTCAATTTTGCAATTCATAGGATCCAAACAAATAATTAAATGAAGATTTTCTTGGGCTCCTAAAAAGACAAACGCAAAATAATCAATTGCTTTAATAATTCCACCTCATTTTCCTTTTATATTTTCACATACTTTTCATAAAATATGAGCCTATTGTATCCTGATAGCCCTCCAATTGTGCTGAATGCTTTAGTGAACTAGCAATAGACTCTAAATCATCGCCAAATAAATCCAATATTTCACTTTCCTCCAAAATAGCTTCGATTGGTTTCATTATGTTCGGCACATAGGAGAGCCAACAATGTTCTATTATCAAACAGGTGCATTGATTTTCTAAAGCAGCTACTTGCATGGCCTGCAATGTGGCAAAAAAAAAAAACAATAGCAAGAAGAAAACAAAACAATGTGTTAGAGGCTTTTAACTAACAGAGGCCGAAAATAACTTGTCCACTTATTTAAGTGTTAAAAGTTAATACTTATTTTCCGTTAGAGAAAAATTAATAATTAAAAAAATAGTTATAATTAAAACAAGTTAGAGTACTATATTCGGCTATGCCGAATCTTAAATACCCTCCACCAGCAAGCTACTTTTTATTGAAACCCATTTAACTATCTAATTTTTAGATAACTTGGCAAAATTTTTGTTTCCTTATTGAGGGTACTAACATTTATGCATATGTCAAACTTATTTTAATTAGGTCGAGAAAAATGTGTATTAATAGGCCAGTTTGAAAACATTTTAATATAATGATTAACTGTACACAGAACATACTCATTTTGAATTTTATCCGGATATAATCATATAATTACGAATTAAGTGGTATTAAGTGATTTTCAGAAGTATACCTTATATGGGAGCTAAGACAACCTATGGACCGATCCGGAAGAAAAAATCCGTAGAATGATTTATATATACAAAATACACATTTATGTCGAATTTTATCCCGATAACTTTGATTGTTAATGTGCATTTGAGTAATTTTCAGAAATGGTCCTTATATGGGAGTTGTGACCAATTATAAACCGATAAGAAAAAAAATTCGTATAATGATTTATATGCCAAAAAAATTCAAGTCGAATTTTACTACAATAGATTTATTAATTAATGAAATATGTGCGTTTAGGTGATTTTCGGAAGTGAACTTTATATGTATAGGAGCTACGACCTTACACAAAACATATTTGTGTCGAATTTTATCAAGATATCTTTATTTGTTAATGAAATATGTGCGTTAAAGTGATTTTTTTGAAGGAGCTATTACCATATATGGAACAATCCGGAAAAAAAATTGGTAGAATGATTTATATGCTCACAAAACATATTCAAGTCGTACTTTATCCAAATAGCTTTATTATTCAAAGAAATATGTTTAAGTGATTTTCGTAAGTGGACCCTCTATGGGAGCCTATCCGGAAAAAATTTCGTAGAGTGATTCATATAAAGACAAAACATATTTGTGTCGAATTTTATCAAGATAACTTTATTTGACAATGAAATATGTATTTTTAAGTGATTTTCGGAAATGGGGTTATATGAAAGCTATGACCAATAATGGACCGATCCGTAAAAAATTTGGTGAAATGATTTGAATGTACACAAAACGTATTTTTGTCGAACTTTATCCCAATAGCTTTAGAATTCAATGAGATATATGTGTTTAAGTGATTTTCGGAAGTGGACCTTATATGGGAGCTATGACCAATTATGGGCCTATCCGGAAAAAATTTAGTGGAATAATTCATATTTATACGAAATATATTTATGTCGAATTTTATCACGATAGCTTTATTTGACAATGAAATATGTATTTTTAAGTGATTTTCGGAAATGGGGTTATATGGGAGCTATGACCAATAATGGACCGATCCGTAACAAAATAAGTAAAATGATTTGTATGTATACAAAACATATTTGTGTCGAATTTTATCCCGATATCTTTATAATTCAATGAAATATATGCGTTTAAGTGATTTTCGGAAGTGGACTTTATATGGGAGCTATGACCAATTATGGACCTATCCGGAAAAAATTTCGTAGAGTGATTTATATTTAGATTAAACATATTTGTGTCGAATTTCATCAAGATAGCTTTATATGACAATGAAATATGAGCTTTTAAATGATTTTTGGAAGTGGGCCTTATATGGGAGCTATGACCAATAATGGACCGATCCGTAAAAAATTTCGTAGAATGATTTGTATGTACACAAAACATGTTTAACTCGAATTTTATCACAATAGCTTTATTCATCAATGAAATATGTGCGTTTAGGTGATTTTCGGAAGTGGACCTTGTATGGGAGCTATGGCCAATTTTGGACCGACTGAGATCTGCGTTGACAGTATGATTTCTGTTCATATTATATTTGCATGTACAAAATTTTGTGTTGATACCGATATATGTGAGGGAGTTATTAGCGATAAACTAATTTCCGGGAATATATACCTTTGTATGGGGGCTATGGGAAATATTGGATCGATCGTAAAGATTTTCAACATAATTGATCTCTGCCATGAAAAAATAATGTGTGACAAAATTCATCGAAATATCTTTGGTAGTTTCTGAGAAAACTTCAAAAGAATGATGAAAAAAACGTAATTTCTTTCGAGGTAGTCTGAAATTTTTACTCATAGCTTTTTACGTTGTGAACCGATTTTGCTGATTTTCAATACCAAACTGCTTAGGATAACAATAAATATTTTAATTGAATTTGGTTGATTTCCTTTGCTTAGTTTTAACGTGAGCGTGTTTTACACAGACAGACAGACGGACAGACGGACATAGCAAAATCGACTCAGAATTTCATAAGGACCCAGAATATATATACTTTGTTGGGTCTTAGATGAATATTTCTTGGTGTTACACACGGAACGACAAACTTATATATACCCTCTATCACCACTGATGGTGGTGGAGGGTATAAAAAAAGTTTTAATTATTAAAAATTTACTTCATTTATAAATATCAGTTAATAACATACAAAAAATAAGTGGACCCCTTATCTTCGGATTCCGCAAACAACTATTCGCTCTCTAGTCAAGTGTATGCATATTTGTATTTACCAATTTCAAATCATTGTAAAAATCCATTAGACCATAATTACAACCACCCTGTAGCAATTGGATTTTAGCCTGTTGCATTGTGGCTGCTGCATAAATACAATCCATTTGTCTTTCACCTGCCGTCCCCACCATGAGTATGTGTGTATTATTGCGTGTCAATAAACGTGCAACTTTCGATGTTTGTTCCAGTAATTCTTTTGTTACTGGTGCATCAATGATAAAACTTTCCGAATCTGTTGTAAAAGGACAGAGAGGAGAGAGAGAGAGAAAAAAAGAAAATTAACAATTTATTATAGTTTAGTCTTTTGTTGCTTTTTCTTTTACAATGCGTTGATAAGGTTTTCAGAGCTGGTATTTATGTGGTATTTTGTTTTCGTTTTCATTTTTACTTACTACAAATAGTAATTGTTTTTGAACTTCCTCCAGCCATTCATCATGTTGTAAGGATTGCAATTCACTATTGTGTTTTGTAGTCTTTGGTACAAAATATATTTCTAAAAGATATGAAATTAAATTATTTAAAGTGAATTTATTTTAGAAATAGAAAAAGAACGAAAAATGAGGTAAAATACAGTAAATATGTATATAAGATTTTCAAATACTTAAATGGGTTATAATAAGGAAACTTCGACGTTATCCTGACTATAGGCTGAGTGCTCCAGAAATTATATTTTTAATTAAATACTAAATATTTGAGCTTGTGTCTCTTTCATTGCGAAAAGCGATGCAGTGCAAAAATTTTATCGTCTGAAATCGATTCAATGGCATTCTTTTACACGTTAATTTGAAGTCCTAGTTCAGTTCTAGGTCAGTTCTAGTTCAGTTCAAGTTCAGTTCTAGTTCAGTTCTAGTTCAGTTCTAGTTCAGTTCTAGTTCAGTTTTTCTAGTTTTAGTTCGGTTCCGGTTCAGTTCTAGTTAAGTTTTAGTTCAGTTATAGTTTGGATACGGTTTAGTTCTTTGGTATCCGTTTCAAAACAATAGTTTTATTATTTATTAAATTTGTATTCTTAACTTATATATTTCTGAATATAGTTTATTACAACATTGTTTATATTGAAACAAAAAAATGTTCTATATCTAAAGTTTATTTAATTTTGCATTACAAAACTCTCTTCAATTTTCAATTAAAAATTCCTTCAACTCTTTAAAAATAAACATATACATATATAAAACTCGTATATTTACTTACATCTTTACTACCAATTTTACGCAGTGAATGTCTTAATATTGCTTCAAATTTCTCAGCATCATCCTCGCAAGCTAAACGATCCTTAAACATGGATACCAATTCACAATATAAAGCCTTTATTATTGTTTTTATTTGTGTGCAGCAACCATTTAATGAAAATAACCCACGAACCAACATTAAACAAAATACAGATAAATACATATAATACACAAGAAGAAGAAGAGAAAAAAAATAAAGAATTTAATTAAAATTTATTTAACAAATTTCTTTTTTTTTTGGTTCTCATTTAAATGGAAATTCTCGCAAAAAAAGAATAATAGATAAAAACCAATATAAAACGAAAACGAAAACGAAGCGTAGAACAAGCTTACCTCATTGAATGAATTTTCTGGATAATATTTGAGATTTGCCAATGTTTTCATTATAAATTTCGGTGAAAATTGATAGTGAGCATTGCAACCAGTAGCAGCAACAGTATCTGTGCTATTGCTACTAGCACTGCCACCACGTTTACCAGTCATAGTAAAGGCAGCTTGAAACTATTAAACAGGGAAAAGAGAAAATATGAAAAAGGAACAAATTAAATAGTTTTCACTTATATTCATTCAGTTGAGTAGTATGAGTATGTTGAAAAGTAAACGCATACAAAATAAAATAGAATAATAGTTATTACAGCCATTATATTACTACTACTAACCTTTGTATAGAATTCCATTAAACCTTCAGATATAGATTGTACATTTTGTAAACTCATACCCTTAAAACGGGCAGAGTCATTGCTGCTGCTGCTGCCACCAGCTTGAAGATGGTATGGGTTGCCTAAAAGTAAATGTTCCAGATGACGTTGTATAACAGCTAACATATCTTGTTGGGTGGGATAACCGACGTGCAGCAAGTGATTTATGGCCAAATAACGCGGTGCAATTTTCACCAAACTTGCATTAGCTGTCGCAGCTGTTGTCGTTTGCGTTGTAGACTGTGAAATGGAACCACATATTTGTAAACCACTTACATTTATCCATTCCAACTTGCTGCTGTTGTTGTTAGTATTATTGCCTTTGCCTTTGTTGTTATTGCCACTACTCGTACTATTCTTAACCGCATTTAGGCCAGAATTTGAGCTGTTATCGTTATAAAAGCCTTGTCGTTGCACAAGTTGCAATAATAATTCAACAATTTCACTGCAACCCCAAGCATCCAAATAACACAGATCCAAATTTTTCAAATACATTACCAAACGTGTCTGTTTCGCTTTAAATTCCCGTCCACGCACTCCACTTACAGTCATACAATTCTATGTTTTTAAAATGAATGCATAAACAAACAAACGAACGAATGAACATAAAATACAAAATACATTTATAAAATAGATAAAAAAAGGACATTTTGAAAGTGGTTAAAAGCTTTTTATAAAACTATGTATGCAAAAATAAATACTTATACTGAGTATAAATTTTATTTGCCAAAGAAACATTTCGTTTAGTAGCGTTCAGAAATTAATTGTTGAACTAAAAACCTCGAAGCAATAAAGTTTAATTAATCTCCATTTAAATGAAATTGTTTTTTTTAATATGATTTTTTTTTAATACAAACAAATGCGCTGACTGGGACTGTGTTGAAATTGTGGTAAATAATTTGTTTACATTTTTAATTCCTAAACATTGTGGTAGCAATTTAAATTTATTTGTTGTTAAATAAAAAATGAAATAAATCTTTAGTTTATTTTTATGTGTTGCAACATTAGCCTTGGTTTTTTTTCAATTAGTTATTTAAGACTGTGATATTTTGTAGTAGGAAAGACAATAGATGCAGTAGGCTTTGAGTTCATAGTATATCCTTTTTAAAAAAATGTATTTGTTAAACAACAAGAGATGGAATTATATTTATATTGATGCTTAAATGTGAGCTGATTCTAAAAACAAACCATTTTTTTCGATAGAAACTTAAAATGGTTTGAAAATTTTCTTTATTAATATGAATAGCGCTTTCCCATTTTCGTTTTCCGATATACCCATCATCAAAAAAGATGGTCACTGATTTCGTCATTACGTTTGAAATAGATCTTATTAAATTCTAATAGGATCTAGCCATGTCCTTCCGACTGCCTGTTAAAATCACAATAGGAAAGACAAGGAAGGAGCTGGACAGTTGAAATATTGCATATTCATAAGTTTCATTGACATTTCGCATGGTCCCCATACAAGTTTGAACAGATCGAAACCTTTCTACTAAATTCTATGAGGATCGGTCCATAATTGATCCTACCACCCATATAAGGTCCCCTTCAGAAATTAACTATCTTTATAAACTCTAAGAGCGGGTTTTTGAGATGATAATCAAATGCCAATTAATAATCAGATTAGTTAATCTAAAAATAAATTTAATCTTATGTTAATCCCCTTTGATGTTTTTGAGTACAGGATTAAACTTCGCAGTGTTGCCATACAAATCAACAGAAAATGTCACCGTTTGTTATCAAAACAATGCATATTTTATAAAAAAGAAGAAGACAATTGTAAATTTAATATAAAAATTAATGAAAACTTAAATTAAATACAAAAAAATGTATTTTGTGTCCATAATTTATACTAATCAATAAATAGAACATTTTAATGTTTATATTTATAAAAATTTTATTAATTTTTTTTTGCATCGGCTGTTTACACTTTTGCATTTCGTGCTTAAGATTAAACCATCTCCATTGGGCGCTTAAACTTGCAAACAAAATTAACTAATTGAGTACTCAAAAACATCTTTCGAGGATTAATTTTAATTTAATCGCTAATCTTTCACCTAAAGATTGGCCCTAAGATAACTTTATCAACTCCACAACTACCATCAGATATAGGAATTAATATGTCATTAAAGAGTGGACTACTTCGATTTTACAGGCCAAGGAAATGAAGGTTTGTGAATACTTTCGAACCAATTCGACTGATTTTAATGTATTCTTAGCTGCTGAAACCGAATCTGATATCTGTTTTTCTCTATCACTCACCATTTTCTCGCAAAATGATATCGAATATTTTATTTATATGTATATTTACGGACATTTTATATAATTATAAAAATATATTTACGTTTAAGGGTTAATTTCGATTTTTCGATGTCTTCATAAATACACGTCTTCACTATATATTTTTCTTAAGTTTTATTTAAATCGGTTAAAAACAAAATAATATTTCATTATGGTTTTTAAGAAAATTACCCAATATTGCATAGCTTGAGTTTGGCCTTCACAGTTTATGGGTTAACATTATTCGATCTCACAAAAAAAATTGAGATGTATGTTTTGTAATTCTCGAATTTTATAAGAATAAAACCTGTTTTTCAAAAATTTTACCAAAATAAGTTTTTTCCGAAATCCTCAAAATTAAAATTGCAGGTACCGCTAATATGTGAGAGATATCTACATAATTTCTTTACTATTTTATTCCCTTCTTTATTGACCATAAGTTTCATGGAGATTTTATTAAAATTTTAAAATTTGGCTTAACAAAATTGTTAGAATTTTAAAACTGGATTTTTGAAACTGCCGTCTAAAGGGTTTCTCATGGTTTTATTATAAATATCTCAGTTAAGTGTTTTGGGACATTAAATGATCGAAGGAATTTGTAATAACTTTTACTTTTTTAACCGATTTTTGTGTTTATAACTTCTTAGGATGATTAATTAATTATATTATATAAAAAGTACTTGATAGTCCTAGTTTTTATTGCTTTGAATATCATATTTATGTATATAAGTTGTTCTTGAAATAAAATCATGAAAGTATGGAACAATATTGGTTTTATTTAAAGGATAACAACTGGTGACGGGGATAAAAAATAATATCATTCAGTTAAAAAAGTCAGATGCACTTAAAATAAAGTAATAATGCACGATCTGTAATTGAAAGCTGGACAAAAATTATACAAAATGGTGACACCAATTACAAATACACAACCTCAAGTAGCTGTTTTTAGTATGGAATCGTTTGATGCTAATGTCTACACATGGCCGAAATGGATTTCCCGTCTGGAGACGGCATTGGAAATTTTTAATTGCGATATAACAACAAAGAAACATTATTTACTATATTACATGGGCATGGATACATATAATATTCTAAGTGACAAATTATTACCAGAGTTTCCGGAAAATAAAACATACGATGATATTAAATCCATTTTGAGTGAATATTACAATGCGAAACCTAATGAAATATTAGCCAACTACAGATTCCATCTACGGAAACAGAAGCCGGATGAGTCATGTGAGGAATATTTGATTGATTTAAGAAAGATGTCAATACATTGCAATTTTGGCACATATCTGAATACAGCTTTACGTAATCAATTCGTTTTTGGACTAAACGACCAGAAAATTCAAAATCATCTGCTTGAAAAGGCGCAACTAACTTTAGAAACAGCACTAGCCATAGCGAAAACATATGAATGTGCTGAAAATGATGGAGAGGAATTGCTATTGCAATCACCAACCAATGATATTACAGTAGACATGTTATCTAGTAACTGCAGATCGAAAGAAAATAAACAGGATAACGAATGCAGAAGGCAGAAGGATACAGTATGCAATTTTTGCGGCGTAAAAGGTCATCTAAAACGCTTGTGTTTAAAAGCAAAGCGCCAATTGAATCAAATTAAGAAGGAGCATAATGCCGATTCTAACGAGGAGATGCTACAAACATATGAGGAGGTAGTAGGGAAGCTACAGGGTAATAAGTACTCTGACCGTTCAAAATTTTATTGTAATTTAAAAGTTAATAATGTAATAATAAATTTTGAAATTGACACAGGTCCTCCCGTAACTCCTTTGAGTGTTAGTGGTGCAGAAGAATTTTTTGGCAAATCTATAAAATGTGTTGGGTATTTTCTGGTATCAGTTAACATGACGCGTAAAGCGGATTCACTAGCCCTGAGAGGGTGGATTCCAGTGAATGGGTAACACCAGTTGTGGTGGTACCAAAAAAGCTTTCTATCCTTTTTGCGTTAAGTGATGATTCTAAAATAACCATTTACTCAGCTATGAAAATAGATGAATAGCCCTACCGACAATAGACATTCAGTGCAATGTCAGGTGGTAAATTTTCAAAAACTGATTTGTTTCAATCGTATTTACAACTAGAAATTCACCCAGATAAAAGGCTTATTTTAAAGATCAAGCGTCGATATGGAAGAGGTCGCAAACGAACGAAGTACTGATTTGCCGGGGAATTCACCTGCATCAACATCACTCGAAGGTATGGGCCCACCGAACCAGACGTTAATATAGAAGAAGAACTTATACGTATTGCTAGGGTCATAAATAGAATCCAGCTTCCGTGGGTTCTAGTGGAGCATGTGACTAACCGTCAACCTCGACTTTATTAATATTTCGTGAACATTTTACTGTAACTTTTTTAGATCTATTCTATTCCATAGAATTGGAATAAGTCATGGAATCGATGACTTTTGGGCATGAAAACATAATCTATTTTTTACACGAAATTTGTGACAGCAATGTCTGCTTTATAGCTAAAATTAAAAAACTTTTTCTTTAAGTTTTCACGACTTTATTAATAATGCGTGAACTTTTTTAAAGTTTATTGATCGTAGAAGACATGAAATCGATGACTTTTGGACATGGAAACATAATTAATTGTTTATACAAAATTTGTGGCAACAATATCTGTCACCGTTCTCGGTTAGGTCAAGAACTCCTGCTGAGTTTTCTGTTCGCGAGAGAAATCTCTCGATTCTAAAAGATTTCCTTCAGGAAATTTTTAGACAAGTTTGCCTTATAATTTTTCTTTGAGTTTTTAACGAATGTTTTTAACGAATGCTCAATATAGAATTTTTCGAAGAGCTTTTAATAAAAAATATTTTTAAGATGTTTTTTATAGACACCTTTTGGCAAGCAGGTTGTCCATGACGTAAATCGACGTAATTAATGTTCGAAACATTTTTAAATATGTATGTATGTAAAAACTAGAACTTATTTAGCTCAGCTGAATCTGATCACGTAAAATTTTCGAGATATCGTGTCCTAAAGCATTTGACCATATTTGAGATGTTACAATAGCGTGTAGATACCTTTATAAAATTGTTTACGTCATCTGAAAGTATAATCTTTGTTTATTAAAATAGTAGTTTAAATAATTCAGAGAAGCTCAATCTTTAGAAAATTTTATCTTGGTCTCTGAATCTCGAATTTTTTCAATTTTTATTTTTTTTTTAATTTTTATTATTCTAAAATATTTTTTTTAAGTTTAAAAACAATTTTTGACTCACGACTGAAATAGGATTCACAGAAACTTTTTGTTTTTATTTGTTTCTCTTAATCCTATTTCAGTCGTGAGTCGGGCTGCTTAATTGCTAACTGACAGCAAAAGTAATGACAAAGAGTAATGATAGATAAGAATACAACTCTGAAAAAGCTCACAAACTTCGATCTAACTCAATAAAGTAGAAGGTAATTGGAATAAGAACTACAATTCCCATATTCCATTTCTTAAAAACTTTTGAATTAAATAGAAGTTGTTTACAAGTGACACTAGCATATGGCGCAAGAATATTGCTGATGAGGATCCGTATAGGGTGCGAAAATACATTCCATTTCATTGCTTGCAATAAAAAATCTCAGTATTCTTATAATTAAAAATATCATTACAATTTGGAAATAATTTATTCTCAAGTGGGACTCGAACTCGAGCCAGCAGAAAAAATTAAAAATCTTTATTTTAAACTTACCTGTCTCAAACAATGTATAATATAAGCCGGTGTCAATTGTGTTGAACAATTAATTGTAAGCAATTCATAACCTGACATATCCTGAACAGCTTGTTGTATGAGTAAAGTCTTGGCTGCACCAGCCGGACCTACAACTAAGAATGGTGTGCTACAGGGAGCCTCTAGAAACGTTTTCAATTGTTGCAAATACATTTTAATAGAAGCTGTTTCAATTAATTCGCCACCACCACTAATATCAGTTTCATAAACATCCAAAGAGTTTCTACTTTTATTATAAAACATTAACTCTGCATGATTTGGATTGGCTACGTATAGGCCAGCCTTGTCATACAACCAATTTGCAAATTCATTTTGACGTTCGACTGGTAAAAATTCAAAAGCGGCATGACAAGCAGCCACCATAAATTCTTCACGATTTTGTATATTGAAATTAATATCATGTTCTGCCTGTAGTTTTAAGAGTAAAGCACGTAACATGCGGGAACGTGTCAAGCCAGGAAACGTACTAAATGGAAAATGTATAAACATTTTTGTTTTTTTTTTTTCATTTATTTTCTATAGATATCAATTTTATTATTCCTATGCCAGTACTTACTGTAAATATTCCTTTTCTAACCATTCCATAGCTGGTTCATAGATTTCCTCTATATAACTTTGTATTAAATCACCAAATTCATATTTACTCAATTGATATTCGAGTATACGTTTTAAGGGATAGTCTTCATTGCTGTGAGTGTGTGTGTGTACAAAAAAGGAAGGTTATTTGTTAGTGGTTTTATTTTAATTTTGTGCATCTTTTATGATGTAGTATTATTATTTGGTTTTTACTCACTTCATATTTACTATGCCCATACGAGATATTGTTGCTGGCGAGGCATTACGTACATCATCAGTTTCAAATATAAAATTCACATTATTACCAAATTGTATGCGCCAACCAGATGGTAATGTTAGTAATCTATTCGTTAATAAATTAGAAAAGAGAAATTGTAATTAAAATTTGTAGTTTTAAGGGAATATTATTCAAAGGATTTTATTTAATGTGAATACATGTGCATTTCATATAGAGGATTAATGTGTAATTTAGTTTTATATTAAAGTTCTTTTAAAAAATAGTAATATTCCCTTTCTTCCTTTCCAGCTTACACCAGAAGAAGAAGCCCGCAACAAAATGATTATGCGTGAAAGAGATCGTGAGCGCAAACGTTTAAAACGTATGAATCCCGAATACAGGCGAATGGAACAGGAACGAGATCGTGATCGTAAAAAGGCCCGACGAGCCAATGAAGCTTTTCGACAGCTCGAAAAATTGCGCGATAAAATACGCAAAGAACGCAAAAAAGGCATAATAGTCGATGAGGCAGCATTGGCGAAACATTTCAATTTAGTGCCAACAACACCCGTCGAACCAGAAGTTATAATCAGTGATGTGGTAACGGGCACAGATCAACAGCAGCAACAGCAAGCTAACCAACAGCAGCAGGCTACACAACAACAACAGCAGCAGCAACCGTTGCTGACGCAACAGCAACAACATCATACACAACAGCATCAGCCACAAAGGCGAAGAATAAATAATACGAATAATGCAAATACAACAAACACGTCAAATATGGCGAATACTACAAGTAGTATAACAACAACTACCATTACCAGTGCTAATACAAACAACAACAACAACAATCTAACACAGGTCACAACGGCCAACATGCCACCCTCCACTAATACAGCTGCCACTCATATGTCACAACTAAACAAGGGTCTACTCTATCCACCACCCAATTTTCCCCATCATCCTTTACCCATACCCGGTGTGGCACTAATGCCCTCACTGTGCCATCCCATTTTACATCAAAATCTAAGTGCTACTCTGTATCCACAGAATAGTGTTAAACAAGAGTATAATACGGCACGAAATGATACGTCATCATCGTCTAATGCCCATAATTTAAGTGCTACTTTGTATCCACAAAATAATATTAAACAAGAATATAATTCGGGTAGCAATGATACCTCGCCTTCAACAAATGCCCACAATCAACAGCAATCACCATCAACGGCACCGGGCGCAGCCAATGCCGGAGCCACCAATAATAACGATGAACATGAGATGAATATGATTGAACCGGAAATAATATTGCAAACATCATCGGATATTATAGCGGCGCCACATCATTTCAATAATCATGCCCATGCTCATCATCTACACCAGCAACAGTGTAATATGTTTACGCATATGGCACCACAGGCTCATATGGCAGCCGCTCATATGCGTGCAGCAGCTCATGCTCCTCACATACCGCCATCAGCATCGGCTTTGGCAGCTGCTGTAGCTGCAGTACAATCTCAACATCAACAGCAGCAGTTACAGCAACAACAACAACAGCAGCAGCAACAACATCCTACATCACAACATACTATAACACAACAACAACAACAGCAGCAACAACAACAGCAACCACAACATCAAACGCAACAATAAATTTTGAATGTTTAATTAAAACAAACAGCGGAAAAAAATGCATATTTGCAAATTTACTATTTTATTATTATTGCTTGTTTTTGTGTAATCGTGGGCATTATTAGAATTTATGCCATTTTTATAATTATGTTTTTTTTCTTCAGTTCTGTTTTTTGTTTCCTTTCGTTTGTCGTCAACATCATTCATGTCGTCTTATTATGGGCATACAGTGGATTAGGAAGCATTTAATGTTGGTAAAATAGTGTTAAAGGTATTTCCAGTGTACAGTGAAGACTACAAGTCTACAGTCTAGCCTATAGTATATAGTCCATAGTCCAGACTATAGTCCATAGTCCAGACTATAGTCTATAGTCCAGACTATAGTCTATAGTCCAGACTATAGTCTATAGTCCAGACTATAGTCTATAGTCCAGACTATAGTCTATAGTCCTGACTAGTATAGTCCAGACTATAGTCTATAGTCCAGACTATAGTCTATAGTCCAGACTATAGTCTATAGTCCAGACTATAGTCCAGACTATAGTCTATAGTCCAGACTATAGTCTATAGTCCAGACTATAGTCTATAGTCCAGACTATAGTCTATAGTCCAGACTATAGTCTATAGTCCAGACTATAGTCTATAGTCCAGACTATAGTCTATAGTCCAGACTATAGTCTATAGTCCAGACTATAGTCTATAGTCCAGACTATAGTCTATAGTCCAGACTATAGTCTATAGTCCAGACTATAGTCTATAGTCCAGACTATAGTCTATAGTCCAGACTATAGTCTATAGTCCAGACTATAGTCTATAGTCCAGACTATAGTCTATAGTCCAGACTATAGTCTATAGTCCAGACTATAGTCTATAGTCCAGACTATAGTCTATAGTCCAGACTATAGTCTATAGTCCAGACTATAGTCTATAGTCCAGACTATAGTCTATAGTCCAGACTATAGTCTATAGTCCAGACTATAGTCTATAGTCCAGACTATAGTCTATAGTCCAGACTATAGTCTATAGTCCAGACTATAGTCTATAGTCCAGACTATAGTCTATAGTCCAGACTATAGTCTATAGTCCAGACTATAGTCTATAGTCCAGACTATAGTCTATAGTCCAGACTATAGTCTATAGTCCAGACTATAGTCTATAGTCCAGACTATAGTCTATAGTCCAGACTATAGTCTATAGTCCAGACTATAGTCTATAGTCCAGACTATAGTCTATAGTCCAGACTATAGTCTATAGTCCAGACTATAGTCTATAGTCCAGACTATAGTCTATAGTCCAGACTATAGTCTATAGTCCAGACTATAGTCTATAGTCCAGACTATAGTCTATAGTCCAGACTATAGTCTATAGTCCAGACTATAGTCTATAGTCCAGACTATAGTCTATAGTCCAGACTAGAGTCTATAGTCCAGACTAGAGTCTATAGTCCAGACTAGAGTCTATAGTCCAGACTATAGTCTATAGTCCAGACTATAGTCTATAGTCCAGACTATAGTCTATAGTCCAGACTATAGTCTATAGTCCAGACTATAGTCTATAGTCCAGACTATAGACTATAGTCCAGACTATAGTCTATAGTCCAGACTATAGTCTATAGTCCAGACTATAGTCTATAGTCCAGACTATAGTCTATAGTCCAGACTATAGTCTATAGTCCAGACTATAGTCTATAGTCCAGACTATAGTCTATAGTCCAGACTATAGTCTATAGTCCAGACTATAGTCTATAGTCCAGACTATAGTCTATAGTCCAGACTATAGTCTATAGTCCAGACTATAGTCTAGACTATAGTCTATAGTCCAGACTATAGTCTATAATCCAGACTATAGCCTATAGTCCAGACTTTAGTCTATAGTCCAGACTATAGTCTATAATCCAGACTATAGTCTATAGTCCAGACTATAGTCTATAGTCCAGATTATAGTCTATAGTCCAGACTATAGTCTATAGTCCAGACTATAGTCTATAGTCCAGACTATAGTCTATAGTCCAGACTATAGTCTATAGTCCAGACTATAGTCTATAGTCCAGACTATAGTCTATAGTCCAGACTATAGTCTATAGTCCAGACTATAATCTATAGTCTAGACTATAGTCCAGACTATAGTCTATAGTCCATACTATAGTCTATAGTCCATACTATAGTCTATAGTCCATACTATAGTCTATAGTCCATACTATAGTCTACACTCTAGACTATAGTCTATTGTTCGGACTATATTCTATTCCAGACTAGAGTCTATAGTCCAGGCTAAAGTCTACACTCCAGACTATAGTCTATTGTTGCGACTATATTCTATTCCAGACTAGAGTCTATAGTCCAGACTATAGTCTATAGTCCAGACTATAGTCTATAGTCCAGACTATAGTCTATAGTCCAGACTATAGTCTATAGTCCAGACTATAGTCTATAGTCCAGACTATAGTCTATAGTCCAGACTATAGTCTATAGTCCAGACTATAGTCTATAGTCCAGACTATAGTCTATAGTCCAGACTATAGTCGATAGTCAAGACTATAGTCTATAGTCCAGACTATAGTCTATAGTCCAGACTATAATCTATAGTCTAGACTATAGTCCAGACTATAGTCTATAGTCCAGACTATAGTCTATAGTCCAGACTATAGTCTATAGTCCAGACTATAGTCTATAGTCCAGACTATAGTCTATAGTCCAGACTATAGTCTATAGTCCAGACTATAGTCTATAGTCCAGACTAGAGTCTATAGTCCAGACTATAGTCTATAGTCCAGACTATAGTCTATAGTCCAGACTAGAGTCTATAGTCCAGACTAGAGTCTATAGTCCAGACTAGAGTCTATAGTCCAGACTAGAGTCTATAGTCCAGACTATAGTCTATAGTCCAGACTATAGTCTATAGTCCAGACTATAGTCTATAGTCCAGACTATAGTCTATAGTCCAGGACTATAGTCTATAGTCCAGACTATAGACTATAGTCCAGACTATAGTCTATAGTCCAGACTATAGTCTATAGTCCAGACTATAGTCTATAGTCCAGACTATAGTCTATAGTCCAGACTATAGTCTATAGTCCAGACTATAGTCTATAGTCCAGACTATAGTCTATAGTCCAGACTATAGTCTATAGTCCAGACTATAGTCTATAGTCCAGACTATAGTCTATAGTCCAGACTATAGTCTATAGTCCAGACTATAGTCTATAGTCCAGACTATAGTCTATAGTCCAGACTATAGTCCAGACTATAGTCTATAGTCCAGACTATAGTCTATAGTCCAGACTATAGTCTATAGTCCAGACTATAGTCTATAGTCCAGACTATAGTCTATAGTCCAGACTATAGTCTATAGTCCAGACTATAGTCTATAGTCCAGACTATAGTCTATAGTCCAGACTATAGTCTATAGTCCAGACTATAGTCTATAGTCCAGACTATAGTCTATAGTCCAGACTATAGTCTATAGTCCAGACTATAGTCTATAGTCCAGACTATAGTCTATAGTCCAGACTATAGTCTATAGTCCAGACTATAATCTATAGTCTAGACTATAGTCCAGACTATAGTCTATAGTCCATACTATAGTCTATAGTCCATACTATAGTCTATAGTCCATACTATAGTCTATAGTCCAGACTAAAGTCTACACTCTAGACTATAGTCTATTGTTCGGACTATATTCTATTCCAGACTAGAGTCTATAGTCCAGGCTAAAGTCTACACTCCAGACTATAGTCTATTGTTGCGACTATATTCTATTCCAGACTAGAGTCTATAGTCCAGACTATAGTCTATAGTCCAGACTATAGTCTATAGTCCAGACTATAGTCTATAGTCCAGACTATTGTCTATAGTCCAGACTATAGTCTATAGTCCAGACTATAGTCTATAGTCCAGACTATAGTCGATAGTCCAGACTATAGTCTATAGTCCAGACTATAGTCTATAGTCCAGTCTATAGTCCAGACTATAGTCCAGACTATAGTCTATAGTCCAGACTATATTCTATAGTCCAGACTATAGTCTATAGTCCAGACTATATTCTATAGTCCAGACTATAGTATATAGTCCAGACTATAGTCTATAGTCCAGACAATAGTCTATAGTCCAGACTATAGTCTACAGTCCAGACTATAGTCTACAGTCCAGACTATAGTCTATAGTCCAGACTATAGTCTATAGTCCAGACTATAGTCTATTGTTCGGACTATATTCTATTTTAGACTAGAGTCTATAGTGCAGACTATAGTCTTTAGTCCAGACTGTAGTCTATAGTTCAGAAGTCTATAGTCCAGAATGTAGTCCATAGTCCAGATTATAGTATATAGTCCAGATTATCGATATTGATCGTTTTAAAGCGATCATATTTTATCAAAATCATTCGAATATAATTTTGTAGCAACTATTTGGCTTAATTAAGCTCCTTTTCACTTTAACACAGACTTTATGATTATCTAATTCACTGTTCATTTCGTATACATAAACATGTTTTATATGAAAACATTAATATAATATTTTTTTCGTATTTATAAGCTTTAACATTATTAAAACATTTTCACTATTTAAATGTCTATTTATATACTTTTTTATAGTCTGTCTTTTTGCTTCCATTTGATTTATTTGTTTGTTTTAATTTTTACTTAATTTAAACATAAATGTTTTAAAAATTTTAATTTTATTCTCATATTATTATTATTTTTTTTAATAATTTTATTTTATAGTTTAATTAATGTCCTTTTTTACTATTGCAATATTTGTTTTTATTTACTTTATTATTTTTTTTTCGAAACATCATAAATTTTTACTCATTTTTTTATATAAGGTTTAAATGCTTTAGTAATTAAAATCTATTAAGTATACACTTAAAAAAAAAAAAAAAAACAAACACACAACAAACAGAATTATATATTCAGTTAATATTATATATAATAAAAATATATATATATAGAGAGTTGGGTATGTATAAATGATGAAAAACTTTATGTATCCATTTAAATTTAAATAAAAAAACATAAAACGTAATAAATAATTATTATTATTAAAGGAAAAAAACCAGAAATTATTTGCCACTCTTAAAAAAACAACTATACGAAAGAAAAAAACTTAATTATTACGAATTTATGCAAAAATAATAAAAATTCTTTTTTTTTTTTTTGGAGTAATGTAGGTTTGGTCAATTATGGACCGATTCTCATCAAATTTTCTAGAACGATTTTAGTTTAGGCTAGTAATGAGCGTTAAAGCCATTTGTGAAGGGGACCTTGTATGGGGGGGTAGGGTTAGTTATGAACCGATCCTTATAAAATTTTTCAATGATATTAAGGTTCCTATAAAATATGTTCATGTCAAATTTCATCGATATGGATGCTTTTTTAAGGCTGTTATGAGCTTTTAAGTCATTTTCCGAAAGGGATCTTATTTGGGGGCTAGGGTCAATTATGATCCGATCTTCGTAAAATTTTACAAAGCTATTTAGGTTTCTATAAAATAGGTTCATTTCGATTTTCATCGCTATAGATGCTTCTCTTAGACAGTTATGAGCGTTAAAGTTATTTTCTGAGGGGATGTTATATGGGGGATAGGGTCAATTATGGACCGATCCTTGTAAAATTTTACAAAGCGATTTAGGTTTCCATAAAATAGGTTCATGTCGAATTTCATAGCTATAGATGCTTCTTTAGCACAATTATGAGCGTTAAAGTCATTTTCTGAAGGGGACTTTATATGGGGGATAGGGTGAGTTATGGACCGATCCTTATAAAATTTTACAATGATATTAAGGTTCCTATAAAATATGTTCATATCGAATTTCATCGCTATAGATGCTTTTTTTGGACAGTTATGAGCGTTAAAGTCATTTTCTGAAGGGGATCTTATATGGGGGTAGGGTCAATTCTGGACCGAACCTTATAAAATTTTACAAATCGATTTACGTTTCTATAAAATAGGTTCATGTCGAATTTCATCGCTATAGATGCTTCTTTTAGTTAGTTATAAGCGTTGAAGTAATTTTCTGAAGGGGAGCTTATATGGGGGATAGGGTCAATTGTGGACTGATCCTTATAAAACTTTACAATGATATTAAGGTTCCTATAAAATATGTTCATGACGAATTTCATCGCTATAGATGCTTCTTTAGTACAGTTATGAGCGTTAAAGTCATTTTCTGAAGTGGACTTATAGGGCGGCTAGGGTCAATTATGGACCGATCCTTATAAAATTTTACAAAGCGATTTAGGTTTCTATAGAACATGTTCATGTCGAATTTCATCGCTATAGATGCTTCTTTTAGACAGTTATGAGCGTTAAAGTCATTTTCTGAAGGGGACTTTATATGGAGGGTAGGGTCAATTATGGACCGATTCTTATGAAATTCTACAGAGAATTTAAGGTTCCTATAAAATATGTTTATGTCGAATTTTATCGCTATAGGTGCTTCTTTTAGTCAGTTATGAGCCTTAAAGTCATTTTCAGAAGGGGACCTTATATGGGGACTAGGCGAAATCGTGGACCGATATTGCCCATTTTCAATACCAAACAAACTGCATCAACTAAAAGTATCTATGCAAAATTTCAGCTCTCTAGATACTTCCGTTTGGACTCTATCGTGTTTTCAACAGACAGACAGACGGACGGACATGGCTAGATCATCTTAGAATCTAATAAGGACCCAGAATATATATACTTTTAAAAGTCCCTCTTTATTATGCTATCGTGTCTTTATAATTGCCATTAAAGGAATGACAAATCTACAAAATTTCGATTATGGAACTATCTATTTGGTTTTAGAATATTTACATTAAGGAGTATAATGCTAAATTTGTGTAAATTATAAATTCATTAAAATGGAAACTAAGTCGACTTGCATGTCTGCCTAGCACCTAATGTACAGTCAGCAACATCGATATATGCCGCCCGCTTTGGTTTATAAGGTATTTAGTTTCTCGTCAGATTAGGGGATTATGATTGTATAAGGACTGGGTGAAATAATGGACCAATTTCAAACATCGAATCAGAATGTGATTCTCAGCCGATTGGAATATTTTTTGTCAACACAAACGATTAAACTTTCCATTGATTCAATTAATTTTTTCATTTTTTCTAGCACATTTTAGTTTTTTTACATAATAATTAATTAATAAGAGATTAAAATTTCTAGACTACTTAAAAATTTTCAATAGAATAATTGGCTGAAATATTTTCAATTTTACGAATTTGCAAATATTTGTGAAATACCAACACACCAGTAGACACAACATTCAACTCAATCTGCAGTAGAATGTTGTTGTAGTAAATAAATTAAAACAAAAGCAAATTCTTTTACACCCACAACACAAAATGTAAAACATAAAAAGAAACAAAAAAAAATTCTACTTACTTATTATCATCCAATACCGAATTGAGTGCCTCAATCCATTCTGGATCAATGCTGCCATCACAAACAATCCATGATTGAATGTGTGGTGGTTCGGCATTTACAACAGCAGCTGTATGTGTTAAAACACCATCAAGCCATTGACGTGTGTCAGGATCAAGACGACCTAACAGTTGAATGCGACTCATGGATTTAGGACTAATAGTGTGAATACGTATTTGTTTTTGCTGTTGCTGCATTGAATTGGTGGTCGCAGTTGGCCTAGCGGAAATAGTTAATTGTGATGATGCAGTTGATGTCGATGACATTGATGTTTGTGTAATTAAAGCTTGACGCAATACTGATATTATGGTTGATTTACCGCAACCGGGTGGTCCCATTACAACAACACCCATGCGCTTTTGCAATTGTTCATAGAGTTGCAAACATTTAATCATTTGCATTTCATTAGCACAAAGACCCAATAAACTAAATGCCTCCGTAATCGACTGTTGCAAGGTTGATTTAAATTTGTCATTGATTTTAATTTCTGGAAATACATTCTGCAACAGCATATCAAAACGTGCCACATCATGCAGGGCCAATTTGGACATAGTGGAGGCACGTAGACACTGTACCACCACCGACATTTCACTGTTATTATAATTGTCGTCATTGTGCACGACCACAATATTATCATGATTATTTGTTGCACGATTACTATTATTATTATTATTATTATTATTAGTTGCAATCGTGGCTGCTGTTGTTGTAGCGTCATTATTTGTGCTCTGAGCTGAAGTGCGTGTAATCTTTAGATTTTCACGTAAACCTTCACCGCAAGCAAGTAAAATGGTTTTCAATTCTCTTAATCCCCAATCGTAGTGACGCTGGTGTGTTAATATTTTGCCACACATATCGAACAGTTCGACCACACGTTCGGCTATTTCGGTTGCTTGTTTAAATCCTTCTACAAACAACATGACACGTGCAATTTCTCGTGGTTCCGGCTGTTGCATAACAATTGGACGAAATAATGCTTGTATGTTGCCAGGTAATTTCTGTCTGCCACCGTAGTCAGCGCCAGCCGGATTAAGCGTTACAAATATGCCACAATGATGATTGAGTTTAATCTGTGTCAAAAGGAAAAGTTTCCAACATTACTACATAAACATACTCGTACATGAAAATGCAAATCTATTCAGACATAAAGTTACATGTTAAAGTTCAAGGGACAAAGAAATCTAAAGTAAATATTTATGAGTCCAAGTGTATGTAGGTAGGTGCCTTACGATTGTAAAGGTTGCAAGTCTTATACATACATACTTACTTACAATTGTAGGTTGTTTATTTAATTTTCATTAAGAGTGCAATTAATTTGCATGTTGATTATTGATGGCATTTAAAAAGAGGAATTTTATAGGCTTAATAAACAATTTGTGCCAGAAATTCGAAATTAATTTGCGAGCGTCTTATCAATAATTAATTAAAATTCAATAAGCCACAGAGATGATTAATAATCTTAGAACATAACCAGAGCTTGAACATAAATGAGTCAACCCAAGGTACAAATTGATTCTTTCACATCTTAAGCCTAAACAAGTAAAAGTTACCTATATGTAGAAACTGATATGGGCAATTTCGTGTGAAGTCACCCAACTTTTAAAATCGATGTCTACCGATTTGGATGAAATTTGCACTAAGGTTAATACTATTGGATAATAGGCCAGACCCAAATTTTCAAACGACCAAAATGTCCAACTTTAACCCCCTCTTAGTCCGACAGTTCTTGACCGAAAAGTGTACATTGGGCATCGATAAGTTCTCTTCATCTAACTGTATTGTTGGCAAATGTTTTTGCGTGTTTCCAGGCTATTTGGTCTGCTTATGGTTCTCGTTTAGTATCCAGGTGTTTCTTCTACATTGTCCCTGGGAGTTCTTAGCTATATCATGTGAGATGTGTCCATTTCCACTTCGACGGGACCAGTATTCGTTCGAAGTAGTAGTATCCCATTTGAAATTTGGATTGGTCAGGAGATTCTCAGTAATTCCCGTAGGCAGGGGTTGATAAAAACTTGGATCCTGCTAGTTGTAGTTTGTGCCACGACATAGTAAAATGGATCTCCCGTCTTTCCTTATCCTACTGCCGAGGTAGCAAAATCTTTCGGCGTCTTCAATGAACTGCCCGATGTCTTCCGATTTGGATGAAATTTGCACTAAGGTTAGTACTATTGGATAATAGGCCAGACACAAATTTTCAAACGACCAAAATGTCCAACTTTAACCCTCTCTTAGTCCGACAGTTCTTGACCGATAGAGCTGAAAATTTGTGTCTGGCCTACTATATAAAGCAATTGTAAAAGGTTCAAAGTGTACATAGGGCATCTATAAGCTCTCTCCATCTAACTGTATTGTTGGCAAAGGTTTTTGCTTGTTTTCAGGCTATTTGGTCTGCTTATGGTTCTCGTTTATTATCCAGGTGTTTCTTCTACATTGCCCCTGGGAGTTCCAAGCTATATCATTTTGTGACATTATGAGGCCTAACCAGGTCCATTTCCACTTCGACGGGACCAGTATTCGTTCGAAGTAGTAGTATCCCATTTGAAATTTGGATTGGCCAGGAGATTCTCAGTAATTGCCGTAGGTAGCGGTTGATAAAAACTTGGATCCTGCTAGTTGTAACTTGTGCAACGACATAGTAAAATGAATCTCCCGTCTTTTCTTATCCTACTGCCGAGCAAGCAAAATCTTTCGACATCTTCAATGAACTGCCCGTCTATAGTAAGCCAATTCACACGAGCTTGGTTTTTTCAATGTCCATCCTCAGACCAACATTAGAAACATTTTCCTTCAGGCGTTCTAGTTTGGTGTACGAGACTATGCCCAAAAAAAGATGTCGTCAAGGGCGACACGCTCCAGCGAATGACATAAGGCGCATGATCATCCGGGAGAACTAGAAAGAGGATGGGTCTCAAATGGTCTCGTTAAAGCGAACTGTAATTTCAGCATCCCTGTACAGCTCACTGATCATTGTGACAATTTCCGTGGGAATACATCTGTCCATTAGAGCTGTTCACATAGCGTCCCGAGAGACAGTGTCAAAAGCTCGCTCAAAATCTATGAATAGCAGATACAGGTGTGTGTTAAGCTCCACTGTGATCGGCACAAGATCGCCCTGGACGGAAAGCAGCTTGTTCCTTGCGTTATATGGAGTCAAGCGCAGGAGAGTTGCGTTGGAGTAGTAAATTTGCCATTACCTTCCTAATGGCATTTAACAATATCATTCCCTGCCAATTGCCGTAGGCCTTATGTTATTATCACTCATCCGACTTTTGGTTTCGTAAACACCATGTAGATTTCCAGTGTTGGCCATAGTTTCAGCTTCTTCGGTTAGCTTATTGAAGTAATTACATTCATCCCTGCCAACTAACTATTTGATAAGTGTGTCAGAAGCGCGGTAATTAGTTCTGGCTGCAGTTTTCGCCACGTTCGTCCCTGCCCATTGGAAGGCGTTGCGTAGTCGTTTGCACGTCCACGGCATTGGGCACCGACTTGCAGAGCGTATAAAGGTGATAGCTGCTCTCGAAAACGCTGTTATATCGGTCAAAGCCGTCCTATATGTGTGTGCAGTTTCCGGATTCTGCAGTTGTTGGAGGTTAAACTTTGTATTGCCATGATTGATCTCTATTCACGACCGCTGGGCGTAACCATAGTGTATCAACTAGTAGCATGTGGTCACTGTTGATGTCGGCACCCCGTCTAGTTCTTACATCCATTAAAGAGTCCAAGAAAAGTTTGCCTAAAAGTACATGGTCGATTTGATTACGCGTGTGCCCGTGTGGTGATTGTGTATTTCTGGATATGTCAATGCAACAATTTCATGCCACCAATAAAAGGTAAAGATAAAAGACCCTCTGTTATGAAGCGCCCTTGGTGATAACAGAAGACCGATCCCATTTATACGGTGTACTGTATTTCCAGAATAAACAAGTAAGAAATTATAGTCGGGCGTGGCCGACCATATGATACCCTACACCAATTGCGAATATTAAATGTGATTAATTTCAATAATAAAGCATTTCTGTTAATCTTATATAGGTTCCAAATAATGTCTGTTCATGTTCGGTTGTATGCTGACTAGATGAAATAAAAGACCGATTTCAATCATTTTCAACAGCCATCGTCAGTGGATCCAGAAAATAGTATGTGACCCATTTTAACAAATTATATTCAAAATTGCGATCTGTTGCGTGCACACAAGGTTTATAGGGTCACAAAGACGGACATAGCTTAATAAGGACAAATATTTTTGAGTGTTACAAACATCACCACATTGTGCCGACTTTTGGATAGATAGTAGTATATTAGACGTAGTTAAAAGATAAACGGCCGAGATCGGAAGGTCCGGATGTATGAGGGCTAAGGCAGAAATAGAGCCGATCCTTATAAAATGTATTATTGGGAATTATCTATATACATATATAAAAATGAATGTGTGTTTGTTTGTATGTTTATATGTTTGTTTGTTTGTGGGTTTATATGTTTGTATGTTTGAACGTTATAGACTACTAAACGGCTAAACCGATTTTCTTCAAATTTTCACAGCACATTCCTGTATGTCTGGCAATAGACCACTTTTTATTTCCGATCATGGCGAAAAATGACAGTGTTATTTATAATTATATTAAACTTAGTTGTTCCAATTTTTGGGAAGATAGTAGTATGAGCTAAAAGGCCCAAATCGGTAGGTCCGGTTGTATGGGGGCTAGGGCAAAAATTGGTCCGATCCTTATAAAATTTAATGTCGACATTTATGTTTATATAAAATCTATTTGTGGCAAATTTCATCGTGGTAATAGTTTTTATAAGTGAATTGTGGACATTCAAGTCATTTTCTGAAGGGAATTTTGTATGGGGGATAGGGTCAAATAATGCACGATCATTATAAAAATCGACAGTGTTATTTATAATTATATCAAACTTAGTTTTGCCGATTTTTGAAGGGATAGTAGTATATTTGACAAAGTTTAGCTCATAAAGGCCCAAATCGGAAGGTCCGGTTATATGGGGGCTAGGGTAAAACTTGGTCCGATCCCTATAAAAATTATTGTTGGGAATTATGTTTATATAAAACTCATTTGTGCCAAATTTCATCGTGATACTAGTGTTTATAAGTGAATTGTGGACATTCAAGTCATTTTCTGAGGGGGACTTTGTATGGGGGCTAGGGTCAAATAATGCCCGATCTTTACGAAAATCACTATAATTATTAAGACATATATAAAACTAAATTTTTCCAATTTTTGTAGAGATAGTGGATCATTTAACATAATTATCAGGTCAAAAGCCCTATTCGGGGGGTCCGGTTGTATGGGGGCTAGGTGAAATAATGGACCGATTTCAACCTTGGACCAAGAGAAGTGCATGTTCCAAATTTCATCAAATTATCTCAAAAATTGCGACCTGTAGAGTGCGCACAAGGTTTACATGGACACACAGACAGACAGACAGACAGATAGACGGACGGACGGACGGACGGACAGACGGACATAGGAAGTGATTCTGAGCCGATTGGTATACTTTAAGGTGGGTGTAAGACCAATATTTTTGGGTGTTACAAACATCAGCACAAACGCATAATACCCTCCCCACTATAGTGGTGTAGGGTATAAAAAGTAGCCCCTCTGGAGGTCCATTATCTCTGTTTGTGGCTAGAGAACTTTATATTACCCAAGGATGTCACGGCTGTAGTTTGACACCTCGTTTTGGACTTGGTTAAGTCTCGGTTGTGAGAGATTTCATACGTTCTATGATCTAATCATAAACAGTGTTCCGAATCTATAGGTCGTCATTGGAGGGTCAGTTCTTATATAGCTTGTTGATGTTTCGCTTCCGCACCTAGTACTGGGTTAAGGTTTGCTGATGGTAAGTATTTTTAAGACTTCTGGACGCGACCGTTGGCCATTTACTTGGCTCATTCGCTTCCATCCCTATTGCACGGTCCCATCGTAATCTGCAAGGAGTAACACTCCATGTTGATGTACTGCAGGTATTTACTACATGCTGCGCTTAGGATTATATCGCCCAGAAGACACTAAGTCTCGGGTGGACAGTGGTTGAGGTTGACGCTTAAAGGGGATTGGTTATGTACACAAATTGTGACATTTGTGTTCGCATCAATCTCCCATTTGACAGTCTCCTCTATCAAAACTTGATTATCTCAAAATCCATCTGCCTACTTTTTGAAACTAATTGATTTACAGTTGTATCGTTTTGTGTATCTAAGGGTAGTCTTAAAAAGTTGGTCATCTCCAAACCTAACATTTTTTCGTCGATAAGTTAAAATTTAAACTCGATTTAGTATGCACTTAAACTACTTATTACTTAAATACCAACGCATAATTTGAAATCATGCATAAAAGAAGATACTTAAATACTTATATACAAACATATGTATACATTCATCATTTTGCACTTTTACATTTCGAACATCAACTTTTACTTACATTATTTTCAGCAATTTGTACCGTATCCGATTTATCCTTTAGAGCACATTGTATGGGTTGTATGAGCATTGATATGGCCGAAAGTGTTGCTTCTTGCAAACGATTGAATTCATCAAAACAACCCCAAGCGCCACAACGAGCCAGACCAGTCAAAATCAAACCCATCGATTCAGTATCAACATTCTGTATTTTGAATAATAAAAATGTACTGTATGAGATGCATACATTAAATAATTTTCATGCAAAACTGGAATATTCAAAAATGTATAACTCGTAACTTGTACAACAATGGTTTTAGTAACTAACTATGGAAGAGTAAACACACACACACACACATTCATAAAAAAAGATAGAAAACTTAAACATCTAGGAGGCATGAGAAAACAAATGACATTGTCATATGGAAAAGAACAGGGTAGGAAAATAGTGAATTCTTTTGTAGTTGAATTTTCAAAAATATTTTTTGAATTATAAAAATTTAAACATTGAAAATATTATAAGTCGCTTACGAAGAAAAATATGTTTGTGTGTTCGCTTTCTAAAAGAACTCTAATGAAACAACTAAAAAACCTTTAATTCGACAGAAACATTTCTAAATAATATCGTTGTTCCGATATATCACCTATATCAATTCTAATGTTACAAAATACAATGCATTCTTTTCGTACTCTGTGCACCTTTGAACACAAAACAAATTGAATAGAAATGCAAAAATGACATTGTAGAGAGAGTGAAGACGGGCATCAAAGAAGAAAAGGGGAGCAAGAAAAGAAACGAGGAGAGAGAGGCAGGACGGCAACGAACAACGATGAGAGTAACGAAGAGAATGCGCAAGAGGAGAAAGAACTGAAACTCCCACGAGCGAGAGAGAGGGCCGCGGGAACGACGAACGAACGAACGAACAGAACGAACGAGCGAGCGAAGCGACGAGCGAGCGAGCGAGCGAGCGAGCGAGCGAGCGAGCGAAGCGAGCGAGCGAGCGAGCGAGCGAGCGAGCGAGCGAGCGAGCGAGCGAGCGAGAGCGAGCGAGCGAGCGAGCGAGGAGCGAG